CATCACAAGCTCATAACCTCATTCACCAAAAAAGAAGAATCACAAAGCATAAATTATTTGATTCCATAACTACATAATAGTTACAATATATGGTTACTATGAGATTTTTACAGGGAAAAATTGCTTTCCACATCCAAATTGAAAATCACTCTCCCTAAAGACAAAATTTTCACACAGGCTAATAAATCTTATAAGCTGCTTCATTACACAAAATATCTTTATCTAGACCTTAATTAATGGAGAGGTGGAACCTCTTCTATTACTTTTAATATGCTCAACGAATACGAGATACATTAGCAAATGGCTCAGGCTTCAGTTTCACTGCAGGCTTAGCCACTTCAGGAGTCCCAAACACATTCCACAACCGCAGAGTCTCATCCCCTGCTGCAGTTGCCACAGTGCATCCATCTGGACTCTGAAAGGAAAAAATGAAATTTGTCAGAGCACAAAAAAAGAAACAAACCATTATGCATATAAAAGCAAAAGAATCAATATAAAACTAAAAAATTAATCAATTCAATTTAGTACCTCAGCCATGTAAAGTGCTCTCGATGTGTGGCCATGGAGTTCTGCCATCTTTCTCATACATGGATATTTCCATAAAATGAGCTGATTATCTGTAAAACCATGACTGCTAAGAAGTTCACGCTCATGCTTATTCCACAAAAGAGCACAGACCTGTGAACCTGTGCCAACTGAATTCAAGCAAGCACCGGTATGCGTGTTCCAAAATCTAATGCATTGATCACTCCCACCACCTCCTGAGGCTAACAAATTTCCCTGAAATGGGCACCAAGCAATGGCTTTCACCGCTGCTGTGTGGTCATCAAGCCTGTGTAGCCACTGTGTTCTGGAATTTGAAGAAGCCATGAATCTGTCCCAGATAAAAAGCAGGTTGTCATTGCCTCCACTAGCCAACTGCTGGCCCGAGGAAGACCATTTTAGGCCACAAACCTCCAACTGATGTCCCATGTAGCGTTCAACAGTGTGTTCTCGTACCCTAACATCATTGTTAATAACTTTAGCATCCATTCCTCCAGTTGTAAGAATGTGATTGTTCCAAGCTAATGCATTCACCCGTGTCTCATGATGATGACCACCTCTCAATGTTCTTAGCTGCACAATTAACAGAAAAAATCCCAAAAAAAAAAACTCAATAAAAACATGCTAAAAACATCACCAACAGACAAGAAAAACAATCAGAAAAATAAGACAAACCTGTCTCTTAACTTGACAATCCCACAGTTGCACATGAGAATTATTCAGGCCAATTGCAATGTGCTGCCCATCAGGTGCCCAGCTGACACTTGTAATAGGACCATCTTACCATAATCCAACAACAGCTGACAGGGGCGAAATTCTTGAGGCAGAAGCCATTTGGAATGACAGTCACAGATATAGCTTGTGTCATGTGAGGCAATTGCAAGCACGTTGTTACATCCCCAATCAAGTAAATTCAAGTCAAAATCATCCAAAATTTCAGGGGCATCAAGTGTCCTCTCAGAAGTCTGCAAAATCAAATCCCAAAACCAACTATTAGACAAAACACATGCACCTCTATTAGTCCGATATCTCACTCTTACCAATCAAATCAGGTCTAAATTAAATCCTCTTCGAATGTCAAACACTTGGTACTACCCCCAATCCCTTCACAAGAAATTTGATTGTTTATTTTGTTCTTCATACATTATATTTTTTTTAAAAAAAAAGAAGAAGAAATTTCAATTTTTAACTATTGAACAAAATTATTTGCTTGCATATTTTCCTTTCTATTTCCAGATACAAAAAGCAAGTAACCAATAATAAGAAGAAAAAAGAAACAAAAAAAACGATACCTAAATCTATTCAAACGTTTCAAATTGCCACAAGTATGCACCAAAGTTTTTCAAAAATTAGTGAAAAGGTAGAACAAAGAAGAACCTGACTAACTTGCCGCCTTTTCTTGGTGGGTTTGGACTGATGAGGGGAACCCATTTCCAGGTGGATCATACCATCACCAGCCGACGTGGGTGGCTTGTTCTTGAATGCCAAGATTCTGGTTCGGTTCATATTCAGGGCCTTAGCTAACCGCTTCTGATAAGCTTCTCTTGACGGACAACCGATAACATCCGGTTTCCCTTTCCCTTTTCTCCCTTCTGTCAACATGTAATGTGCATAGTCAAAGTCCATCGCTGACCTATTCGGTATGAACCTATCAAGCTTTTCAATTAAACATATAGAATTTTAATAAAAACCCCCCCCAAAAAAAACAAAGAATCTAAAGGAATCAATATATTTGCTTTGTGTTACTTACATCGTCTTGGGTGTTTCTTCTTTGAAGAAGAAGTTCTTGAAGTGGGGTTCTTGAATGCATTCTTGGTACAAGAATTTTATCAGACCCTAAACCCAACAACACAAAACAAAAAAAAATCAAAGAACTGAAATAATCAATGTTAGTGAAATTCCTTACCTTCCCTTCGAACTGGATCGCGGAAAGTTTCGCAATCCAATTCGCAGGAACGTAACGAAATGAACAGAGAACAAGGATTCAAAACTCAAACTAAAACCCCAAGTAGAGAAACAAATATAAGATTATTTCTGCAAGGGATCGAAATGATGGAGGATTTGGCAGCTTCGATTGCAAGAGTTTCCAGTGCAGACGAGAGAGAGATTGGAAATATCGACAGAGTTAGCCGTTGGGAAATGGGAACGTTTGGATTTATGTGAGATTGCATTGGCGGTTTACAAAATCTTGCACCAAAATTACAAATAAGGACTACTGTTTTTCACATAATTATTAAATAATACATATAATTAAATAGTACGTATATATCCTAAACATTAAATATGTTTTTAATAGAAAAAATTAAATAGTTTATATATAGGCGTAATGTGACATTTGATGGAGTGAAAGGGGGTGCATTTGATTCAAAATAAAATAATCATTAAAGAGAATTGATTTTTTTTTCAAATATTAGTAATTCATAAACTAGTAGGTTTTATATAAGATTAATTTTATTCTTCTACTCTTAACTTTATTTTTTTTATTTTATTAATATTTATAATTTTCTTTTTTTAATTTTTTAAAAATATAGAGCTTTTATGTATTATTTCTTTTATAGTTAAGGTTTTAAGAATTCTATTCATGACTAAAAGTAAGGATGTTGTATGATATATTATGTTTACATCCCAATTTCTTCTTTTCTCAATTTTTCTTCATATAATACTTTAAAATTTTCTTAAATTATCTAGAAAAATTTATATTTATCATTATTCTTTTAATATATCCAATCAAGTTCTTATATTTTTATTTTGAATTAAATAAATATTTATAATTAATAATTAATTATTATTAATTAAAATACTACTTGTTATCTTATATTACATGACATTAATATAACATACTAATATATCATAACAGATGATAATGTGGTACACTAATATAATGATATAATACTTTTTATTTTTAATATTAATATCATATTACCATCGTGTAGATATAAAAAGATATATAACATTTTAACTAAACAATTAGTTAATTAAAGAGCTTTTTAAAATATTATGTCATTTTTCTTCTAATTCTCGCTATCCTTTCTCTCTTTCAATTTTAAAAAATAAAAGAAAAGAAAACTTTTGATCTTATCTTACATCTAAAACCAATTTATTTAATTATCATTTGATGATCTTTTATTTTGAATAAAAGATATATTTTATAATAATATAATTTGTACCACTTATCACGTGTAGTCAATAAACTTATCAAAGCATAAAATGGTAGCCAAAAGATTTCACGAGGAGTTGAATTGTCATACCAACATGCTTAAGAAACTAACATTAAAAAAAAAAGAAAAAGAAAATAAAATAATATATTTTCCTTTTTCTTTAAAGGAAATATGCAAATAAGGAATCCGAAAAAGCCCAAAGCGATTTTGACCCAAAGAAACAAAAATAGAAAAGCGCTTTCATTAATTAACTTTAATTTTACAGGTCATCGCAAACTAAGCTAACCAGATTTGCACTTTCATTGAATGGAACTTGAAAGATGAAACTCACAATGACTACATAGAAGGCAAGTCCCATTTACATCTGATATTTAGCTATATAATTAATGAAGACAATTCCCCAAATACTTTCTCATAATCTAAGACTAAGTCACCCCTTATCCTCTATTTAACACTAAAATACATGCATGCTAATAACCCAACCAAAGTTAATCAAAATAGCTTTCACAAGGCTCAACATCACACTTCCCTAAAGTTGAGTTTGATTGGTCTATGGGACCAAATCCACTTAGACCCTTTCTTTTTCTTTTTCCTTTTTGGTAAATATCAAAGGCAAAAATATAAAAAAAATTGAATCTTAAATCGTAATCTTATCGAAAAAGATAATAACTATTAACTCGAATTTGAATTATTTATTTTTATATATATTCATGTGGTTAACTATTTAAGATAAATATATATGATTGTTTTGTTCACCTAATTAGTGATATGTCCTTCAACATATTATCTTCGTCTTTGTTTTATTGCATTGCCAATTTCCATCATAGCATAATTAGCATTCAACCAGTTTTATCTATTTTTTTTATTTGGTTTAATTTGGTATTAATGAATAATTAAATTAAAAACTTAGTTTTGTTCACACAATAAAGTATTAATCGAGTGTGTAATGATTCAGTCCACCAACATATTGACCCGTGTTGGTCAATTCATTAGCCAAATTTAGCTAAGGTACACGCAAGCTCACGGTAAAGAATTAACAGCAAACGACGCGGGTTTAACCATCATGTCCCCATTAACCGCCATTTTCCACCTTATCAGGAGCTCTCGATATGGTCCGAAACCCAACCGATTTGATCATCGACCCTCCGTTTTCACATATCGGCTCGAATCAACCGTCGGATTCATTGACCTTCTCCCTTTTGATCTTTATCAAATTTTATCTTCCCAAAAAATGCTTACCTCATTTTCGCTTCTGCACGACACGGAAACCGAGAAAGCCTTAAATAACGAAAAAGCTGAATAAAAACAAACTCCGTCCCCAACAAACAAACACACCCCCCTCCACCAACGAAAAAAGAATTTAGGGTTTCCACTTTTTAATTTCCTTTTTTTTTCTTTTTCATTTTTTTTCCATCTTGATTTTCTCTCTCTCTCTCTCTCTCTGTCAGCTTTGATTTTCCTTCCCTCCTAACACCATTGAAGCTGTTACCATTTTCCCTCTTCCCAGCTTTGCTTGGTGAGAGGGGATTGATTTTTCCTCAAAGAAGAAGAAATTAAATAAATAAAAATAAAAATATAAAGCGTTTGATTCTGCTTCTTTGGAGGTTAATTTCCCGGGAAAATTTGCCTCCTTTTCCAGTGTTCTCTCTCAGCTTCCACGGTAAGTTGATTTTCTTCTTCTCGCATCTCATTTCTCTCTTTTCTCCCCTCTGTCTCTGGGGAGTTTTCTTTTTTGGGAAGGATTTTGTTGTGAGAAGTTTAATTCGTTGAATTTTAACTGGAAATTATCGCATAATGTATCTTTTGTTAGTTAATTTTTTAAAATAATTATTTTTCCTGGAAAATTTGTGTGAAAAGGGAACTTTAGTTACATATTTTTTCATTTATTTTCTTGTTTAATCTTGTTGTTTTATTGTTTATATCATGAACTTGTCTTCATCGATCATTTATCCAGGAGGAATTTATATGGCTGGTGGGTGGAGTCAAAAGAGAAAGGAGGGAAACTTTCATTGGAGGATCTAAGATTCAAGAGAGAGAGAGAGAACTCTAATTTTTTTCATTATTTTTTGTTAGTAAATAATTAGATTGCTTGAGTTTGAATGCATATTGATATATGGAGTCAGAAATATTTTCACCTCCAAGAGATTTGGTGAAATGTTGTGATTGCGGTTGTACTACATGTTCTTTGATTGGTGATCCTTCACGTACTTGGCTTCGGTCTGTGAAACGAAAATATGATGAGTTTGAGACTGGAAATGGGTTTTATGTTCCTGGGTTGGATCTTTATTCCAATGCCAGAGTCCAAATTGAGAATGAATGTGCTGCTTTGCGGGAGACGGTTAGTAGCCAACAAGCAGCAATACAGGATTTGTATGCAGAACTGGAGGAAGAGAGAAATGCCTCATCATCAGCTGCAACTGAGGCCATGTCAATGATATTGAAGTTGCAGAGGGAGAAGGCAGAGATCCAAATGGAGGCAAGGCAATTTAAGCGTTTTGCGGAGGAGAAAATGGCACATGACCAGCAGGAAATAACGGTTTTGGAGGATCTGTTGTATAAGAGAGATCAGGCCATTCAAGCTCTTACTTGTGAAGTGCAGGTGTACAAGCATAGGATGATGAGTTATGGACTTACAGAGGCAGAGGCTGAAGGGGAGAAGGATGTACAGATCCGGAATCTGGGTGTGGCTGAGAACTTTGGTGCCCAAGTTGATCTTCCTGCATATGATTATCCTCCTCTAAAGTGCAATTTGAATGAGAATCCTGGTGATGATGTTGAAGATGTTGAGAAATATGCATTTGGTGAGACCCCTCGTGCCCGAGAGCACTTGAGGAATCTAGAACAAAGAATCTGCCAAATGGAGAGGAATCCCAGCAGCAGTCATCTAAGTCAGGTGGATGGAGATTTTCCTGGAACAAAGAATGTTTTGGAGAAGGTGATAGTTGGTCATTCTCCTAGGCGACCTAGACATTCAAGGAGGGTTTCAACTGATAGTTTAAATTCAGTCCTGGCTAAAGAGATGGGTTCAGAGTTTACCAGTGATTCTCCCAGGTTTAACATTGGTTCTCCCAGGTTTAATACTAGTTCTCCCAGGTTTAATACTAGCTTCAAGAAGATGGAGTTCGTTTCAGAAATGGAGGAGATTTCCAGCTCAAGAAGAATGGATAATGCTTCAGAAGTTGGAGATGACATGAGTGACAGAGTTTATACGATTGATTCTGTCCATAATGGAGTGCCCTATAACGGAACTACGGAACCCAAACCTGGAGTTGGAATATGTGATGATTATGCATCCACTCCAAGGGAGACATTGAATCTGCCTGATGTTAGTGATCCTGATATCAAGAAGCTCTACATGAGGCTTCAGGCCCTTGAGGCTGACAGGGAATCAATGAGACAAGCAATAATATCAATGCGAACTGACAAAGCACAGTTAGTATTATTGAAAGAAATAGCTCAACATTTGTGCAAGGATATCTCACCGGAAAGACGCGTGATTGTGAGGAAGCCATCCATTCTTGGAAGCCTTCCATTCATGTCAGTCTTCAAGGTAATCTTTGTATGCATAAAGTGCTATTTTTTTGTATACTTTAAAATTGTCTAGTTCTGTTATTGACATTCTCATGTCTGTACATTTTGCACTGTTCATTTTCTTGTTGCTTCAATTAATGAAATTTTGCAATAGAGTTTTGATGTAAAAACTCTCTCTCTCTCCCCCTTGCATGCCTGTGAGTGCTCTGTGTGTTAACCTCTTTTTTTTTTTGGTAATGTTCTCTATGACCATCGAAATAGCAGAAATGTATTGGTGTAAAGGTGTTTTCAATGAATTGCATATTTAGGACACTAACAGTTTCTTAAAGCTGTCTATATATGGAAGGCTATGCAGCAATAGCTACATATATAATTACTTTGCTTACATGAAGTACAGAAATAATGAAGATCATCATCCCCATCGTATCTTGTCTATAGGTCATTATCTCCCTCGTCTTTCATCCTTGGTTGCATCGAAAGCCTGCCCTTCTGTTTACAACTCTTTATCTGTATCCTGTACTCATTGACTATGTTTTTACCCTTTTCTTGTTTCATTCCCTTACTTATTTTTTCCACTGACTCTCTGGTATTATTTTAGTTCCTGTCTAGCAATTATCTGTTGAAGCATCAAATTTGGGTTGTGCCATAGCTACTTTTTGTCCAATTTTGACATAATAGCCATTGAACGTAGCTAGTTTTGATGAAAAAGTATTTTTTTTATACTTATTTAATGCCAATTTTCTTCCAGTTGGCTTGTTTAGTTTTCTTCTCTGAAACTCCTCATTTGAATGTTGCTCTTTACATTGTTGGAAGCATCGTAAACAGAACATGTGTTCATGTTCTATCAACAGAGCTATTCTGTGTTATCCATAATCTGAACGTTGTTGTATTTCTTTTGATGTATTGCCACAATGCTGCTAAAATTTTTTGTCTTTTGATGTTTTCCTTTCAGTGGATCGTGTCCTTCGTTTTCTGGAAGCGGAAAGCTCGTCGAAACAAGTAAGTTGAAGATGTGTTGTGCACATAGTTACTGTTGGGTTTGACCTATACTTTAAAACTGACATATTTTGGTTTCTCTATTTTTATCTTAATTAATAATTTATCAAACGGCAAGCATTATTAGGTTAAAAGTAACCAACTTAATTATTGCATTTTACAGCAAAATCAAAACAAATTAGTCTGGTTTATATGCAAAGAGAAAGAAATGCAGTCTCTTAACATTTATCATTTAAAGCAGTATCATTTTAATGGTTAGCCCTGAAACAATGGAGACGCATTTAGATATATATTTTGTGTACTTGTGTACTCTGTTTGATTATTGCATTTTACTCTGGAAATTGACCGTGAAGTTTATCAGCATATTATATACTAGAGAAATGTTAATGCTGGCGTTGATTAATTTCTGTTGGTATTTCTTGTTTAATTATATAGGTACCTGTATGGATTGTCAGCAAACAATGTTGGCTTGCTAATGCTTCTAGACAAGGGGCCTCGACTGAGGCAGTGGAGATGCCTTTCAAGCACACAAGTGTGAAAGGGATTCGATCACTTCCATGTCCAGATGAAGCCTATAATTGCAACTGCGAATGCTGAATGGGTTTGATGAAGCTATAAAGTGTTTACTTTGCATCCATTTTTTATGGATTCCTGGGTGCTGAATTTGGTATATTGTGCAGTGTTCTTTTATTTCATTTTTTTGGGATTGAATACGTTTTGCTGCTTGATCAGCAAAACATGGATGCATGTGAGCGTACTCGCTCATATAGTTTGTTGGATTTGAGCTTGAGGCATGTGTCATTTGGCGATCTTCTCCTGTATATGTCAGATTCTTGTATGATTCTCATTCAAGTATGCAGTGTTTATACTTGTCCATTTCAAGCAATGGTTAGTTCCAAAGCGTTGTTGATGCAAGTCGCATCAAGATTCTCATTTTACTTGCTTCTTTTTCCTTTGGCTATACCAAGCATCCTAGTAATTAGTAAATATGTTTTTTCTCCTTGAAGGGAAAAAGGGAAAAAAAGGAAGGAATATGTTAAAAGAACTTTTGGATCTGTAAACTTTGACAAATGGCAATGCAGGTTCTATATATGAAGCTAACTTTTTAATGCTGTATATCACTGTCTATCTCTCATATTGGAGCTGTAATTCTTCCCTAAAGTTTGTTTAGCTTCTGTAGGATGTAGGGTACTGTTGGATTTTGCTGCCTGATTTGTACACAAGTAAAGCGGAGTCTTAGATAAAACCTAATTTATCGTCATAGCCTGTTAATTTGGCCTTGATAGTGGCTGGACCATGTCTTATTTGACAAATTCAATGCCGCTGTGGTAGACCACAAGGCTAGACTGCAGGGTTTATATATTTAATTTATGCTTCTAGATAAACGATTGATATCTCATATCCGCAATGGTTGGCTCAACTCTAATTATTGATTGTGCTTTAATGCTTTTTATTGAATGGTCCCAATCCCAGAGCAAAACACTAACTTTGATACGGTTAGTACTTATTGGTGGTAATGACAAGCAATTTTAAGGTTGGAAATCATCACACAAATAAAGCATGGTCATTGCTTTACAGTGTGCCATGTCCGTCCTCTTTTGTTATGATTGTGGGCACTTTCAAAACCCAGCCAAAGTAGGAATGCACGAGGAAACTGCCATTTAAACTTGTAATGTACATATCCATACAGTTAGTACAGTTGCTTGCTACGGACAAATACAGTTAGATTTTAGTTTGGCAGTGGGCATAAAATAAATGGAAATCGTTTAACCAAAGTTGCATGTTTATAGTGTTGTTATTTGGCTTCATTATAAACTTTTTACAATAAACAAAGGTATTGTGGGTCAAGCGGTTGGTACAGAATTGGGAATGAACAGGCCAAGTCACTCGAGTTAACTCACTCCACTTATATTTCCGTTAGCTTAGGAAAAATCATAAATTAACCCCATTAATATAAATACCATATAAAGTGTTCTTTTTTTTTTTCAACTTTAATAATTAGTGAATAATAATAAATCCCATCACATGGGTTTTGGTCTTGGAACTTTTATTTTATTTTTTTATGACAAGATTTAAATAAGGAAGCAAAAATCTTGTCTCTTTTATTTTCTTCTAAATTTAATATAAAAGGTCAAAGTAAGTATATATATTTTTTATTTATTTTGATAATATCATATCATGAAATCTTGTTGGGTATTGTGGTCCTCCATACCCATAAAGAATAAAAGGTGCACCCAACAAGAAGATCATTGTGTGTGTGCATTTGGACAAGGTCAAAAGAGGAGAAACTAATTTTGAATTGAGAAATTTCCATTTTTTATAATAACGATTGCTTCAATAATTAGTTAAAATATATTGATATTATCGAATATTTGATATTAAATGTTGGATGGTTGTTAAATGAATAGCATGCAAGTTAGAAAGAAAACTTTGTGAAGTCGAATAAAAGGTAATCTGATAAATAAATGATTAATTATAATACAACAGTGTCAAAACATGAAACCTCCTCATATATCTTTATATTGAACAATCACCTTTGTTTTATTATTTTTATTTTCAGAAATATTATAATGATTATATATGAAAGTTTTCATATTTTTTTGTTGTATTCTAAATAATGATATTATAAATAATGATATTATATTAATTAATTTCTTGACTCATTTAAAAAGAATTTTTAATCTCCAACTTTGATGAAAAGAAAAAGTACTTGCATTCCCCCTTATCAAAAAATATGAACTCGAAATGATTCGATACGAATTAGCTCGAAATCCAATTGATCATCGATCATCAAAAACAGCACAAAATCCAAACAAAAATTGAGAATAAGAAATGGTAATGTTCAAACTTATAGTTTTATTATCATTTTCTCAAAGTGACATGCTCAACATGTTCATGTTTAATTTGTCTTGCACTTTTTGACTTTCCAACCCTTTTTGTACAACATGCATCTTTAGGTTTACAAAATATACACAAATTTCTTTAAAATAGAATATATATATATATATGTATATATTATACAGCAAATAACGCTAAATTTAATTAATAAAAAAATATTATTGTATGTACTCAATGCTTTACATGATACATATTATTAAATTTTACATCACTAATATTACAAACTCACGTAAGTTTAATATAATATTATAACAAAAAGAGTTTCTTTGAGTGGGAATATAAATTTATATCTCGAGTTTAACTTAACTATAAAAGAGTTGATTTGGAATTAAGGAAAAATTTATATGTATTGAATTTGGAAATGTAATAAAATACATATGATTTAAATTAAGTAAATGTAAATCCTACAAGATGATGCAAATAAATTTATGCATAAGGTTTATTAGAAAGTAAATTCATACCCAGAAGATTGTTTGGGGCCTGAATATTTTTGGACTGCATATGGGCCTTGGTAGCTGGGCTAAGTGTATGCAATTTAAAAGCCAGACGCCGATCCTCACAGCAAAACCCTTGTAATACCCTTCCTCGGCAACTAGAAAGCAAACCCCGATCGAAAACCTTAAAACAATGCTAAGCTGTAGCAGAAGCTTACTGTCCCGAACCATAAAAGGAAAAAGAAAAACCAAAACTAAAATCAAACTAAAAGCCGACAAAAATGTTTCTAGAAAACAAAAATTCATTGCCAAAAACCTGCAGCTTGAAAGTAATGAAGAAGAAGACGAAGGATTCGACCTTAAATCCTCAGCTCCATCACATTCTCATGGGGTTCAGCCATTGGGAAACCTTTATTTCAATCCCGGCTCTGCTAATTCGAGGAACACTGGCTTGGGTAATCTCCAAATCCTGTCTGATGAGCTTGTTCTTGAAATTTTAGGCCTTTTGGAAGGAACCCGGTTGGGAGTTTTAGCTACTGTTAGTAAATCTTTTTATGCTTTCACTAGCCATGAACCCCTTTGGAGGAATCTTGTATTGGATAATCTAAGAGGAGGGTTTTTGTACAACGGGTCATGGAAATTTACTTACATTTCTGTTTTTCATCCTTCATTTGATGTTTCGAGAAGCACCTGTTTTTCGGGTTTGAGAGTAAGGGATTTTTATTCTGATTATTTGTTTCAGAGTTGGTTATGTGCTAATCTTGAAATGAAACCAGAATGGCTTGAAAGAGATAATATAATTCGAAGAAGAGGGATTAGTGTGGAGGATTTTGTGATGAATTTTGAGGAACCGAATAAGCCGGTTTTGTTGGAAGGGTGTATGGAAAATTGGGATGCTTTGAAGAAATGGGATAGAGATTATTTGGTTAATTTATGTGGTGATGTTCAGTTTTCAGTTGGCCCGGTGAAGATGAGGCTAGAGGATTACTATATGTATTCAGATCAAGTAAAAGAAGAGAGGCCGTTGTACTTATTTGATCCAAAATTTGTGGAAAAAATTCCGACTTTAGGTTTGGAGTATGAAGTTCCAGTGTACTTCAGAGAGGATTTGTTTAGTGTTTTGGGCAATGAGAGGCCAGACTATAGGTGGATTATAATTGGACCAGCTGGGTCTGGTTCATCCTTCCATATTGATCCTAATTCAACATCTGCTTGGAATGCGGTGATTAGAGGATCTAAGAAATGGGTTTTATTCCCACCTGATGTGGTTCCTCCAGGGGTGCACCCAAGCCCAGATGGTGCAGAGGTGGCGTGTCCTGTCTCAATAATTGAGTGGTTCATGAACTTTTATGGTGCAACAAAGAATTGGAGAAAGAGACCAATTGAGTGCATCTGTAAGGCTGGAGAAGTGATCTTTGTGCCTAATGGATGGTGGCATCTAGTGATTAACCTAGAAGAATCCATTGCTATTACACAAAACTATGTTAGCAGGTATGTCCTTTTTTTTTGCCTTCCCTTTCTTTTTATTCATTAGTTTTCTCCATGGTTTAGAATACTCACTTACTGCAGTCTCTAAGTTTAATTTTGACATTATTACAAAAAATACATCTATTTTGACCTTTTCAATCTCATTTGACATGGACTAGGAGTAAATGCCTGAAGAAATAAATGTAGGTTCCGGGAAAAATTCTGTGACATAATTTTTGGCCTTTCCTCAACAGCTGAATAGCATGTGGAATTGGTTGTAAATTGAGCTCAATTTTAAGCTTGGCTTTAGAATATTGTTGTAGTCATTGTGACATTCTGAGTGATAAAACGAAGAAGGGTAGCTTTGCCTGGTATGGATAAGCACAGTAGACCGGAGGTTTAGTTATTGTAGAAGAAATTAAGGTTGTTCTAGCTTATTATCGCTATTTAAAGTTTCGTATGGACCAGTTTTTCTAATTTGAATCTCTTTGTCTCAGAATTATAAACAAAATATTTCTTTGAATACTCCTCCTCTGAACTTACCTGTACAAGCCTTAAGTCAATTGTAATCAAAGATGAACAAGATATGAGAATGCTTAAATATAATTTCGCTGAAACCTAAAAAATAAAATAATTATGAGTACTGCAAGGTCCTCAGCATGAAGTTGTTGCAGTCACTACCATGGCAACATACCATTTTCTTCTTATATCATGCTTCGCCAGAAGTGTTACTGACTTGTCATTGCTATGTGTTTTGTGAAATGGATGCCTTTGGCTAAATTGTATTTAAGCGTCACAAAAGTTGATATCTGTGTAAATCTCAATGTGATAATAGTCTCATTGTCATTCAGCATCCTTAGCTCATCTTTATCAAGGATAGAGTTGTTTCAGCCTTTGATGTTTGCAACCCTGGCCTCCTACATGATTAGGAACTTCCCCTACACTCCCAATGTGAACTGCAGATGGTGTACGGTGGAGCACTAGTAATTTTGTTTACAGAAAGAAAAAGATGTTCTCATGGTTAATCATTTATGCTTTGGGATACTTACTTTTCTCCCTCCATTTTTTGCATGATCTGTAACTGATGGATTCACATTCCATAAATAATTGCAATATTAGATAGAAAGAAAATACTCAGTAATTAAGAAATTAGTTATGTGGTCTAGTGGTCTGTGTGAGTTCTTGATACATAACAAACACCATGGTTCAACAAAATTAGAATTCATAGCCCAATATTATTGGTTCTGGGATACGCAATCTCCATCTTATTAAAAACATAAAGAAATAAAGTCCAGGCAAAATATTATGCATAACAGAATCAGCCTCCATATTGGTCAGATTCTTAGGAAGGATGTTTGCTCAGGAACTTCTCATGATAGACATGCCTCACCACTTGTACCTTCAGCTGGTTCATGAGGCATCTGCAATCATCCAATAAAACACCAAGTGAGCGGTTTAGAGTAATGGTAGAATTCAAAAGATGGATAACCATCTTTGAATCCATTTCAAGGAGGATACCAAGAAAGCCTAAGTTGGGCAGCTGTCCTTAGGCCATCTTTAGTCCCGAAGAAACCACACATATGCTAGTAGTTGTGCCCAATCTACTTGAGACAGCAAGAAAAATCACAAATTTGTTCCTTTTTTTCTTTATTGCAGGAGAAATTTGTGTAATGTTCTAGATTTTCTTAAGAAGCCAAATGCTAGCGAGCTTGTTTCAGGGACAGGGACAGAATAAATTTGTATGAGAAGTTAAGAATGCTATGGAGGCTTCTTTCCCTGAAACAATTGATGAACTGTCACAGAAAGCAGAGGAGAAAAAGGCCCAGCAGAAGAAATTGTCCTTCTGGGATTCGGTGACTGATTCCAAGGTGGGTGCTTTCAAGTTTTCTTTCTGAAGCAAACACCCGTGAAGGCCACCAGAGAATGACAAGAGACCAACAAGCAACAACTGGTCTAGCAATTAGCATTGGTATTATTCTTATTCGGATGAAAATAGTCACTATCCTTCCTTCAGGTTTCCTGGAAAGTATGAATTTTTCGAAAACAATTTTGACATTAATTAATTTCAGAAGGTTGTACTTCAATTATTTATTATAACACTAATGTCATAGCTCTCTACAATTCTTTCTACTTTATTTGGTCTTTCATAGTCAATGGACTATCAATGGTGCATTCTTTGTAAATAACAGCCACAGCCGCATTAGTTGAAACTGCATTTGATTGTTCAAAGCAAACTGCTACACTGTTATGGTGGAAAGGCCCTCAGCATTGAGCAATGAACTTGTGAACTTCATTGATTGACCTAAACTCGGCTAAGCATTGGGTTGTTTAAAATACAGAAACTCAATACAATTCCCATTGTTTTTATCATATTAACGAGACATGGCAAGTCCCTTTAACAATTACTATTTCTATCAAGCCCAGAGCTCTTTTCTCAATGGCTTAAACCATATCCTATAAAAAAAAAATACTATACCAATCAAGAGCAGCTTTGAGGCTACATATACCAATTATGGGCTACCAATCATGGCTGTAAGTTGTATTTGATCTTAAAGTAAATTAAATTGCCTCTGAAAACTACATTGAAAAGCAGATATCTTTACCAACGAAAACCGTGAATTGTAATTAACAAGACCTGTGAGCTCTTCGATCAAACGCCAATCAGGTTTGGTAAACCCAATGGAAGATTAAGTTGCATTCAGTACATTGAAGGGCTTGTCCATTGTAAAGCTTGTTGCAGACATTACATGCAGGGCAATTCCAAATATTCTTGACAAAAGTGATCGGGTGTGGTGAGAAATTTTCAATGTTCTGCCAAGCTTGATAATGGCATATCTCCCAGATACATTCCGGATGAACAGTATTATCACAGTTACCACATAGTAAACCAGCAGTTTGGATGTCTTTTCCTCTCACAATATCACAATAACATTGATCAGATGAACCACATCATAAGTTAGAGTGAGAGGGTCATTGTCGTACTTGTACCAAGCTATTTGCGGTAGTGTGAGACACCTGAATTCCAAGATAAACTCACAACCCTGCGTACATTTGTATGCGAATAGACTTTCGTTGTTACAACCACTGCAATTCTCATGACAGTTATGATCGAGAAAAAGTAGGTGTTCATGACTTGGATGCCTAAAAGTGTCTGACAATAAACTACATTGAATCCATGGTGACCACGATCACAAGCACAGCAAGGCACAATTTCATCATTCTTCGTGAAGGCGAGCAGTGCTTGTGAGTGGGTGTCGCTTCTCTTCTATGAAGAAAAATCTGCACTGCTCACAACCATAGAATGGAGTTGAGATAGGCCTCACACACCATCACAATTGATATTCTTTAACCTCACCACTAAAAGGGGGAATTAAATTGTGATCGTGGAAAGCATGTTTGATCTCTGTTGCTATTTCATCTCCCTTTAGACACTTTGTTTGAATAACATCAGTGATCCAGTTTATAGATTCTCCCTCAGACCTCTCCTCTTCATTAAATTTTGGATTCTATCAGTTGCACAATTCACATGTGCAATATAATTGCATTTAGAATCAGGACAATAATAACTTCCATATCCTGTATTCACTTCTTTACAACAAATTTTGCATTCCCACTTTTCAGATTGATTTTCTGAAAGAAAATAAGAATGAAAAAGTCGGTGATGATGTCGCTATATCGTGATGATGCGGGGCAATGAAATGCAATCTTTGAACAACAAAGTTGCATGTAGTGCACAAACTCACAAATGAATGACATTGGTCTTTGACAGAAAGGCCATGGGTGTTTATTATTGACTGTTGTAATTTCAGGCAATGAAGAAACTTCAAGAGTAGGGCCGAACTCACAAACGTTGCAAAGTAAACAAATCCCTCCCAATGTATCTTGCACAAATAGCAAGAACAACTCTCCAAGTGAGTAGGTGGATTGCGCAAGAGAGTAAGCGGATGTCTACGATGGTGAAAGTTATTAATCTCAAGGGGTAGTTCCGCACATTCTTTATGAAGGTACCCCTTCCTGCAATTCAAACATTTGTAAAATGGGCTTGATGATATTTCTTTCATACATCCCAAGCAATCACATCTAATAATCCTGTTATGCTTGTCAATAAGATCGATGGATGCTCGTGGTTAGGGTGTTCTGCTTTATCAAAGGTTCCAAAACAGAGCACATTAATGTCTGATCGAAGTTACAATATGCACAATGATAAACAAATCCCGACAAAATCCGGCCACAAAGATCGCAACGAACCCAGCAGCTAAATATGGTGTTTGGCAGAAGAATAAGAGGAGTGTAGAGTCTAAGATATGCTAACCTCCGGGGATAAGTCTAACTCGGCACATGTCTTGTGAAGATAAAACTTGCAACCGCTGCAGCAGTAGCATGGACTCTCTACTCGTTCCTCACATGCAAAGCAACGAGCTCCTCCTTCTTCTTCTACTACCCTTGCACAACTCCATTCTTGGATGAACACCAGCGGATGGTCATGGCTAAAATGTTTAAGATCCATCTCTCTTTTCACAATGGCCCTAACAGTCTTCTCGGATAAGATTAGTCCTAAGCCTAAGAGCAAAGTTTTTTAAAGAAAGAATAGTATTGCTGCAATTCTCCAATCTCTGGGGCCTCTGCTCCTGTCCTAGTGGCTCATTGGTTTTTAGGCAAGTGGTATAATTTGTTTAATGGTAATTACTGATAATGGTTGCTTTACGAATATTTTCTTCATTAACGACAAATTTTGCAAACTTTTTGACCAAGTTTGCAGAGAGACACAAAGGATTCAGCTACATAAAATATAAAAAATGAACCTTGTGAATTGGAAAGATCTAATTTCCTAACCTGCATCTCCACTTGCTTATTAGAAAAAACAAACAAGCAATCAAAACAAGACAAAAATAAACAAACAAACAAACACTGGGTTAGTAAGATCCAATAATTTGGTAACCTTCCTGTTCTTTTCGCTGTTAGCAAGTACTAATACTATTTTTCTAATTATAATTTTTTTTTGTATGTGAATATATTGATTAGGATTTATATAATGCAGAGTTCATGTATTTTGATTAAACGCTCGTTTCAGTCTTTAAATTAACTTGTTGACCCAAAAAAAGTCCTACGTTCATAGTTGATCATATATTTTTTGTTTGAACATTAAAATAGTATAAGATATGGTTTCGATTAAATCATAGAGAACATTATTGTATTTGTAATCTTAAGTACTGTTTCTCTGTTTGATTTCTTTACTTTATGCTTTCAAGTTAATCTAAGCAAAACTCTATTTAGCATTGGGCTAAAAAATACAGAAACACTAGTTATCCCATTAGTTTTTTTTTTTGAAAGATGAATTTTTATTAATGATAAGTTGAAATGCTGTGTGGAGTCTTTAATGTTGAGATTTGGAAACTCCAGAAGTAACTATTTAAAGAGTATTTGGCAGCATCTCAACACGTATAATCTAAAAAACAAGCAGAATGTGCAAGCCCAGGTAGATCCTGAAAAAGGCTTTGGAAAATTAGGGAGCAAAGATAGAGAGAGTAAAAACACCTCTGTTCCGCAATCTTCGTTTAAATATTGTCATGCAGCACAGACCAACCTTATTCTTTGGTTGTGTCTGATCATCTTGGTATTGGTATTGGACAATGAATATTAGTAGCAATAGCAGTAGCAGCAGCAAAGTGTTAAACACATTAAGGCTGAAGAACCCAAAACTTCTGTTACTAGAATCCTGCAAGAACTTGTCTCAGCTGAAAATCATCCATGGTCATATGATAAGAACCCATATCATTTTTGACATCTTCGCTGCCAGTCGTCTTATGTCCCTATGCACTGACCCTTCCTTTGGAACAACCTTATTAGATTACGCTTGCAAGGTCTTTTCCCAAGTTGAAACCCCTAATCTATTCATCTACAACGCCTTGATCAAAGGGTTTTCAGCTAGTCAAAACCCACATCAGTCTTTCCATTTTTACACCCAATTATTACGTGCAAACATTCTTCCTGATAATCTCAGCTTCCCATTTTTAGTCAGGGCATGCGCCCAGTTAGAGTCCCTTGATATGGGAATTCAAGCCCATGGACAAATAATGAAGCATGGCTTCGAAAACAATGTTTATGTACAGAATTCTTTAGTTCACATGTATTCTGCATGTGGGGATATAAAGGCAGCAAATGCAATTTTTCAACGAATGGCTTGTTTAAATGTGGTTTCTTGGACTTCAATGATAGCTGGATTTAATAAAGTTGGGGATGTCGAGATGGCGCGTAAGTTGTTTGATACAATGCCGGAGAAGAACTTGGTTACTTGGAGTATAATGATTAGTGGATATGCCAAGAATAGTTATTTTTGAAAAGCTATTGAATTGTTTCAGGTTCTTCAGGAAGAAGGAGTTAAAGCTAATGAGACGGTTATGGTTAGTGTGATTTCTTCTTGTGCTCATTTAGGTGCAATTGAATTAGGTGAAAAAGCTCATGAGTACATTGTTACGAATAATTTGAGTTTGAATATGATTCTTGGGACAGCTTTAGTAGATATGTATGCAAGATGTGGGAGTATTGAGAAAGCTATTCGGGTTTTCGAGGAACTACCCGAAAGAGATGTTCTTAGCTGGACAGCTCTTATTGCTGGATTGGCAATGCATGGTTATGCAGGAGGGCACTGTGGTTCTTTTCGGAGATGGTAAAGTCAGGGTTAAAGCCGAGAGATATTTCGTTTACAGCTGTGTTATCTGCTTGTAGCCATGGGGATTGGTAGGAAAGGTCTAGAGTTGTTTGAGAGGCATGAAAAGGGATTTTGGTATTGAGCTAGGTTGGACATTATGGTTGCGTGGTTGATTTGCTAGGTCGAGCAGGGAAGTTAGCAGAAGCTGAGAAGTTTGTGCTTGAAATGCCTGTAAAGCCTAATGCTCCCATTTGGGGGGCTTCTTGGAGCTTGCCGTATTCATAGAACCTGAAATTGCTGAAAGAGTAGGAAAGATCCTGATCCCTCTGCTGCCAGAACATAGTGGCTATTATGTGCTGCTCTCAAACATTTATGCACGCACAAACAGGTGGGAAATGTTGAAGTATGAGCAGATGATGAAGGAGAAAGGAGTCAAAAAACACCGGTTACAGTTTGATCGAGGTAGACGGGAAAGTCCATAACTTTACAATGGGAGACAATCGCACCTGAATAGACATGATAGAAAGAAACATGGGAAGAGATTCTTAAGAAGATAAGACTGGCAGGTTATAGTGGGAATGCATCCGATGCATTGTTTGACATTGACGAGGAAGAAAAAGAAAGTGCTCTACACAGACACAGTGAAAAGCTCGCTATTGCTTTTGGGATTATGAGAACAAAGGCTCCGATGCCAATCCGAATAGTGAAGAATTGCGGGTATGTGAGGATTGCCACACAGCTACCAAGCTGATTTCCAAGGTTTTTGAGCGTGAGTTGATTGTGAGAGACAGGAACCGGTTCCATCATTTTAGACATGGTACTTGTTCTTGTATGGATTACTGGTGAAAACACACACTATCTGTGATATGAACATCTTCCTCCTACTCCCCTTGAATTTTTTTGATCTTGCTCTTTCGAAAAACAAACCATTCTTTTTAGAATTTACCAATCAAAGTTTCGAGAAATTTATCATTTATTTTATCGTGCATTCGTATCCAGTACTTGCTCCGGTAGTCTTTCCTTGGCCGGAGCTTGGTTAGCCAGTCTCCCATCGGTCATTGATAGGAACAAGATTCACTCCAAGTCTGTGGTTCAACCTCCGGAAAACACTGTAAATGAGGTATAGCCTCGTAAGATAGGACAAAATGAATAGAGAAGGTGAAGGAGATGCCATAGCAACGTACTAGCAGGTCCGACCGGCCAGACTTGACTTGGCATTCAAGCTATTCCAGGCACGTTTCTTTTTCTTCCATTTCCTCATTTTCAATCAATTGAAGCTGTCTAGTGAGTTACTAATTATGAGTTCCGGTTAATAATTGCTTGCAGATTACTGACCCTAATTACTTTGTTTCTTATCCTTCATTTTTAACTTCTTTCACCACGCTAAAAAAATTGCCACGTGGCATCTTAAAATCCACGTCATAATATTTTATTGTTAAAATGCCCATCAAAATTTCACTTAAGCACTAATCAATGTCTAAATGTCCCGTCAACATGATTAATGTCAAATTAATAAATGAAAAACTCGGATGCTACTATGTTCATTTTTTTCGTATGAGAAAAAGACTGAATCTAGAATTTGACCAAAAATTAGTCATATGTCAATTATATCATGTGAACATAATATTGTTGTGATAAGTTAATTTGGTACATGAACAGATAAAATTAACCATGTCTCAATTATATCATATGAACATAATATTATCATGATAAATTAATGTGGTACATAAATAAGTAAAATTCAAAAAAATTTCCAAAATTCTTGTAAAAAACACTATCTAAAAATGAAATTCAGCTCCATAAACTTGTACAAATTGTAGTTTCGTAAGTCAAATTAAAAATAATATTACTAAGTTTGTTTTAATAGCATTAAAAACTAATATTTGCATGTGATAAATAACTTTTACTTAAAATTTTGAAAATTATTTAATATTTAAATATATGGAATATAAATTTTTGAAAATTTAATTATGTGAATAGTAATTACATGGACTAAAATTACAAATTAGTGTAATTTTTCATTTTGAAAAAAACCGATGATAAAAGTTAGTAAATACAATTAATAGGACTAACTACGGTTATGTGAAAGTAACTCTTAAGAAATACATATTTGAATCCTTAGTTTTATTAATGTTAATCTACTAATTAATATCTTCAAAATTTTTAAATGAATAATAATGTTTTTTTTTTCATGGCATGGTTTCCAAATCAAATATAAACCAAGACAACTATGCAAATAGTCATGAGAATAATATATAGAAGGTAGTGAACATTTATAATATATATATATATATAGATAAAGAGATACAAGGCTGAGGTGTTGCGAATATTATACTTTTGTATCAAGATATAATATTTTTAATGCACAATGCCCAAAAAAGTTTATAAAGTATATAAGAAAATTTAAATTAGTTTTTTTTGTTATTAGATTCAATTAAATTTTTATATTTTTATTTTAAATTAAATAAATTTTTATGACAAATTATTGTTTAATTGCTGTTAATCAAAATGTTTATTATTATTTTATGTGTATGTAGCGTTGATGTGAAGAGTGAAAAATATAATATAGTCGTATCATTATATCATGTCATCATCTACTATGATATGACATTATATATTAATATGTCATGTTTATATTACATGGTACAAAATAATAAATAATATTTTGATTAAAGCAACTATTAGTTATACGAGTTTATTTGATTTAAAATAAAAATATAAAAAATTATTTAATTTTGAATAAAAATTAAGAGTTTGATTAAATATAATAAAAAATATAAATTTTTTTAAATGTTTTAAATAATTTAAAATTTTTTAAATATTATGTTTATTTTAAAAATATGCCAGTATCAATAATATATAAGATAACTATACCTGTTTGATACTTATCCAGAAAAATTTAAATAATCAAACTTTTCTATAAAAGGTATATATGAAAAACTAAACAAAATGATTTGAAAAATAAGAACAATAAAAATGCTTAATGCAAATATTTATGGTACGATATTTGAAAAAGTTTATGAATTATTAAAAAAATTTTAAAAAATTTTTATTTTTTTATTATGATCAATTAAGTGATTATATTTTTATTTTAAATTAAATTAATTTTTTATGATTAATAGTTAATTAATTATCATTAAATAAAATATTAATGATAATTTTATATTTACGTATTAATATGACGATGACGTAGAGAGTAAAAAATGTCAAGTATTTATGTAATTATATCATTTCATCATTATTTATGATATGTCAATTTTTATTATATTATTATAATAAATAAAATTTTTTATTAAAAATAATTAAATAATTATTAATTATGAAAATTTATTTAATTTAAAATAAAAATATAAAAATTTAATAAAACATGATAAAAAATAAAAAAATTTCTGAAATATTTTAAATATTTATTTAGATACTATTTTATTAAAAAAAAAGTAAATAGAGATATATTTCATTAGTGTTGTATATTACTACACTTCTATTACTTCATCCGATTTTTATGTAAAATTTTAAATTACTAGAACTAGGTTTGATAAAATAAGGCAGTAAGTAGTCTGTTTTGGTCAAATCATACCTGGGGTTTCGCTGTAGTTATGGAAATACATACAAAATCTTTGATTTTGTTTCCAAAGCAAGCAGGAATATGAATGGAAAGTCCCAACCCACCTGACCTCTTTGTTTTTATTGCTTTAAAAACCGACAGTATCTTTCTTATATAAATTCAAACTAAATTATTCAAACAAAAACAGAGCACAACTTCTCAGCCAGTGTGTGACGGTACATCGCACCTTCCTTCTCTTTCTTTCCATCGTTCCCCAGTTTTCTTCTTCTTCTTCTTCTGCTTTTTCACCAATCAATTTCGTTTTTGTTTTATCAAATTCTGATCGCCGTTTCGATTTCTCTCCCTCCCTCCCTCCATTCTCAAGATCTGCTTCCATCCTCTCCTTTAGATTCCCGTGATTCTGCTCAGGTAAATTTCTCTCTTTTTAGTCCCCAAATTTCACTCAAATTCTCAAATTCCCGCTTCGCGAGATCTTAATTTGGTTTTAAATTTTGATTTCACGTGTTTATAAGAATGCAGTTGATTTTTTTTTTCTGGTTTGGGCAGGTGGGGATGATAGAATGCAGCGTTTGCCATTCGAAAATAGCATCGCCGAACAGCAAATCCGTTTATAGGGCTTACGATAGGCATCGCAACCATGTCTCCTCCAAAACCCGTTTCCTCAATGTGCTTTTGGTCGGTGGTGACTGCGTTTTGGTCGGTTTACAGGTCAATTCCTTTCTTCTTTAACTATCAAACTTTGTGTAAACCAGCGACGTAACCCTGCCTTCACATTCTAACACCCTTTTATTTATTTATATATGTTTTATACAATTGCAGCCTATTTTGGTTTACATGTCAAAGGTGGATGGGGGTTTCAACTTTAGTCCCATTAGCGTTAACTTTCTCACCGAGGTGGCCAAAGTTATTTTTGCCATCGTTATGCTCTTGTTCCAGGTACTTTAAGCATTTTCTTAACTCGGAAACTTTAACATATAAGGAAGGAATACCTTTAACATATGAGGAAGGAAGTTTATCTATATACCGGCACTGGAGTTAAAGAACTCCGCAAACAGGTTTACTTGCTTGTCATGTGTGTTTTAACTATAAATAAATAAGTCAACATTGAATGATGTAGTTAAGTTAACTAGGCACGTGACAAGCGGGGAGGTTTAAAACTTCATCTTCTGTGTTTATGCTAATAATCGTATGAGGTATATTCTTTTGCTAAGTATTACTGCCATTTGTTCTTTCTTTTGAGTCTTAAATTATCATAAGGTTTGCAAGGTATGTATCATTGGGTCCTAGTGACGCTGTATTCACAATTCTCCATTAAATCAAGTTTGGTATCCAGTGCATGAACTGTCTTGTCCTTGTGCAGTTGTATTTTGAATTAAATCTTAGTTATACCTGTTGGATTTTAAGGTTCATTTATCTTTATTTATTATAATAGGTTAGATAAGCGAAAGAAAAGATAACTGTCTCTCTGTTACGGATTAGTAAATAATTGGAGAAAACCGAGCTGAGCGTGTCCAATCTAAAGATGCCCTTTGATGGGCCAATTATTGAACTTGGTTTGCATGGCAAAGGAATTGCATATATAATGTAAAGGTACCAGAAGCACCATAAGATGATGAACATATCCCACTAAACGTGAGACACCCAAACATTTAATAGCTCAAAGTTGCTTTCTGTGTGAAAACTGCAGAAATAGTTTCAAAATAGCTCTAATAAGGGCACTTGAAAAGGCTTAAAGGAGGGTTACAAAATTGCTTGATTTGATAATATTGATAGTTTATATACCACACTCATGTTAGGCTGGTGTTATAGAAGGACATAATGTCAAGTGGGAGAATTTGGTCAGAATAGCTTTGTAGGTTCTGAGTTAGTGGTTTTGTTAACCATGTTTTGTCTCTTTTAGTTAATTTTGTTTCAAATTCCTCTTGCATTGATTGATCAATTTTTTTTATAAGCTGTTTTATATCTGATTCAGATATTCTAGTAGGCCTGTAAACCAATAGAATTCGTTTTTTTGAGTTCTAGTGGAGATTTCATCTTTTCTGGTTTGTTGTTTTTAGATACTGCATAACATGCAGGAAGAAATAGGTTATGTTCATTGCCAATTATTATCAGATAATCTAGAGGTGGCAAGTATGGAAATGGACCTGGTGCCTTAGTGTTGATTGGAAATTCGAGGGATTGCTAAATAAAAATGATCATGCTTATTGACCTACAGCCTCAGGAAACATTCCTAAGCTTTCCCTGTACTAAGCTCAATGGGCCTGCTAATGGTATTCAGCAGGAATAGGAGAAATGGCATTTCAAATGATGAATGAAAGTCTGTTAATTATTTATTATTAAACGTTATAGGAGATTCTTTTGATTAAATTCTTTCATTAGCATTTAATTATTGTTCTTATTTAACTCTCTCTCTCTCTCTCTCTCTCTCTCTCTAAAGGCTCGGCATAAGAAAGTTGGGGAGAAATCTCTTCTCTCAATTTCTACATTAGTGCAGGTGAGAAATTTATTCCACAAATCTGTGATTTTGATTGCAATTTGTCATTAGTGTCTGTATTAATAATTTCACTAATTCTTCATAACATTAATAATCTCGATGGTTTTAATGGTGCATCCTTCTTATAAGCTTCTCATAAAGAATGGCAATAGTCCAATCTTGAAATTAGAAATATATGCTGCAACATGTAATCAAAACTTGTAGCCTATACAAAGGCCAACTGTTAGACTCACTGGTAGTTTAAATGTTAATTCTTGAAGTTTGTTTTATTGATATGGATGATTTCTTATTGATCACCAAAACTGTAAAACTGATTAAGAAATTGCAGTAAGTATATATGCTTTCTGGTGGATAACAAAAGTAATTGAGATACCAACATGATAGTTCATTGTGATCTTAATTAACACTTAGGATATTTAGGGCAGAGAAGGTGATGAAAGGCGTTAGAGGAATTTCAATTGTTAAGTAGCTATGCTGAAACTAGAGATGCAGCAAGTAAGCCGAATGTTTTTTAGTTGCTCACATAGATTTGGCTTTCTGTGTTGATTTTCTTGGTTTTGTGCTGTAAAATTGGCAAGACACATTGTTGTGTACTGTGCAATTTTAATGGGACTAATGGTAGATGAGCTGTGAGTTTTGTTTTATTTTCTTTGGAGTGAGCGATACATTGTTGACATTCTTTGGTTTTTGAGTGGCAGTTTTCTTTATGCTTTGCATCCTCTGGTGTGTGGGTGTGTTTATATTCCCTTAACCATAAAAAATTCTTCGTTTGGTTTCTGAATGGGTTGTATGTTAACTCTTTATGTATATCAAGGGTTTTCTGAAAAATATGCTGTCATTTATGTCACCTTATTTGGTTGAGAAAATTGTGTTTTGATTGCTTTCTGTAAACTCAATTATTTTTACTACTATTTGTGCTGTGTCCTATTGCTTTAGGAAACTGTCTTTATGTGACATTAAGTCCTTTTGAACTTTTTTAGCTTGTTATTCTCCTTGATATTTAGACGTTTGTTTTGCTCAGATTCCACTTTTCTGAAATGATGTGAGATGTAGTCATTCATCTACAACATCTTTCTGACCTCAAGATGCCTTTCTCTTTGTTCTCAACTTTACAGGCTGCTCGAAATAATCTGCTTCTTGCTGTTCCAGCTCTACTTTATGCTATTAATAATTACCTAAAGTTTATTATGCAGGTGGTGTTTTCTTATGATCTTGCTGTTTCTATCTTTTATGTTACCTGTATAATTTCAATTACTTATGCATGAACTGATTCTATAGAATTGTGGGAAACACCTTTTAACTATGTGCAATATTCCTGTTAAACAATTATCCACTGCTAAAATTTCTTATTGGTATTCCTTGGCTTGGTGTTTCATAATAGTAGTTAATTTCTAATAATTATGCTGTTATTTGCATGCAGCTTTATTTCAATCCTGCAACAGTGAAGATGCTAAGCAACCTGAAGGTAGCACGAAACATTATGTTTAAGGCTTATTTAAATAGAATACGTTCTAATCAATCTCCTTTGTGCTTTAACAAAATTCATTTTTGGTTAGTTATGTGCTTTAAATCTTCTTTTCCTTTTTGGGTATTCATCACATTGTTCTTACCACCTCAGTCAATGGGTATGATGAATCTCAAAAACTATTAGTTTATCATTCCATCTAAAGCTTAAACCCATTGGTCAAAACTAACTTTATGCTGCTGTCCTTCATGGAAAGATTAAGCACTCTGCACAAATCCTGCTGTTGCTTTTCAGTTTTTCAGTGAGAATTATTGGCGAACCTGTTTTTATCTGCTGTCTAATGTCTGCAGGTTTTGGTAATAGCTATCTTGTTAAAGATGATCATGAAACGGCGATTTTCTATTATTCAGGTTAGTTTGAGCAAATAAATGTTCTCATTGCACTGTATCACATTCAATTCTCCAAAAATTGAAAGACAATATGTGGGCTTTTAGGACAACTAATTGGTTGCAGTTTATCTATATTCTGTATGTTTAGTGATGATCTGTATTTGTGACAGTGGGAAGCTCTCGCTCTGTTGCTTATTGGAATTAGTATAAACCAGTTGTGGTCTTCACCAGAGGGTACTACTTCATTCGGTCTTCCAGTTGCAGCAGGCGCATACTTGTACACAATAATTTTTGTAAGTACAGTTGCAAACTCAATCTGTATGGCAAGCTTTTGAATTGTCTCTATTACAAAGAATTATATCTCGAAATGATCTTATTCAGACAGTAGGACTTCTGGAATGGCTTTTTTGGCCTCCTTGTTCATCAATGTAGAGAATGCTTGTTCACAGATTATAGTTTAGCTGAACATAGTATAAGCAGTTTTTTAGCAATTGACAAGTAGGGGTGCCCGCATGTTGCAGCAGGTAATATTATGTTTGGAAGAGAATTTTTTAAATATTTATCAAAATTAAAAATAGTAATGAAATTAAGTAAGGAATATTTAATGATTAGTTAGGTCAAAACTATTATATAAAGGGGTTGTTTTGGTCTTTTAAAGCGATTAAGTTAGAAGTGATGAACTGACAAATAAACTGATAAATGCAATTTTTATAAGTTTACATCTTTAAACTAGTAGATAATGGTATCATTCACAACACACCATAATGTACAAATCCGTTGACTATCTTTTAGAAATTTCTAGATAATTAATACACTTAGGATGGTCTGAAGTTGACTAAATTCACAAATGAATTCTCATAATTTGTAATGCTTGCTTTCGAAATCAGCTATCTAAATACATCTAATATGATCAAATCATCAACCATACTCAAATACTATGATGGTGTCAAAATTATCCCCACTCCCTAGTAATAATTAATATTTTAATAAAATAATAAAAAAGAATAAAATGATAAATGAAAAGTAAATTTAGATAGTTTAGGATTTCATGGATATAAAAAAATTAACTATTACAAACATAAGTTAAGAAAAGGTTTTTAGTAAACTAATGTTACAAGAAGTACTAGAGCACCTTAAGAGTAAAAAAACCTGGTGAAGGAAAGCTCACAATGAGTCAAAAGACTTAGAATAGACAAACTGTGAAAAATAATTTTGAGGACTGCACTGTTGTGGTAATTGTGCCTTCCTCTTACAAAGACGCTGCTATTACAATAGTGTCAATAACCTTTAGTTATAGGTATAATATTAATGTATCTAATATGCTAGAGAACGTGACACATGAAAACTAAGTTTTTTTTTTTTGTGAAAGATATATAAAATGTATTTTTTTAATGAGTATGCTATGAAGTGTAAATTTTTTTTGAAAACTAAGTGTATGACATTTATATAGGTTACTGTTCCATCCCTGGCATCAGTCTTTAACGAGTATGCTATGAAGAGCCAATTTGAAACAAGCATTTACCATCAGGTGAGTTTCTAAGGATATTATTTGTCGTACTCATGTGACTGTGATGACCTAGCCTGGTGGCATAACTGATGGCACATTTATCATGGGTTGCATTGATTTTATTAACAACTAGGGAAAAAAAAAAAAACTCTGAAGGACTCTTATATGGCACAGATTTTGAAAGAATTCAAGTAATTTTCTGAAGTATAGCTGAATGGTTATACAATTCTGGTCTTTGACCTTTCTTTTGAATCTTACATTTATGTGTGGTTGCTATATGTGTTCCAGAACTTATTTCTTTATGGATATGGTGCCATGTTCAATTTCCTAGCCATCCTCGGAACTGCAATTTTCAAAGGTAGGACATAAACTTTAAGCTGAGAATTTACTGTTGATGGTATGAAGCTTCTAATAAGCTCTGAATGTTTGGTGGAAATTATGATATGATTATCAACAGCGCTTCATTGATCATGTTTGGCCACTAGTTCTTGGTTATCTCACAAATTCTTATATATATTTTTACTGATATTTTGGCATTTAGAAGTAGTATAAATAGCTCTAAGCACATGCATAATTCATTTGTTGACTAGCTGCTTTAATTGCTTGACGTCCTTGCTTTTAGGTCCCAGTAGCTTGGATATCCTGCAGGGACATTCAAAGGCTACCATGTTTTTAATATGCAACAATGCAGCCCAAGGGATCTTATCATCTTTCTTCTTCAAATATGCAGGTAAATTTCAGTTCTCTATTTTGTTAATTTTTTTACTGTGAGTTGGTAGAAGAAACAGGCAAAGAAGATGAAGGGATTGTGGGAAAACCCTGAAATTAACAGGACCTGGGATGAATATTTCGGTGTAATTTTAATTCTAAAATATATTTAAAAAATTGAAATTTTAAATATTTTAATAATATATTTAATTTAAATGGGTGGACCAGCCTGAGCCTAGCTTTAAGAGGTGTCAACTGGGCCTGGCACCAGCCCATGGACACCTCCAGACCTACAAATTTATCTTACAAATTATGCTGTTGCTTATCTTGCTGAAATTTAGTCAAACCAGTTTCCCATATTTTAGTATCTTTCATTAAATATCTCTTGTTCTTTTTTTTTTTGGTTGAGTGGCTGCTTTTTTTTCTCATAGATCCTTGCTTTATTAGTGATGTTATATTTTGACATCATAGTTTGTTGTTTCTTTTATTGTCTAATAAGCTTCTATATCATTTGTATTTTGTATTCTCTAAAAATAATTTCTTGTTCTTGCAGATACAATCTTGAAAAAGTACTCCTCAACTATTGCCACAATTTTTACTGGCATAGCATCTGCTGTTTTGTTTGGTCACACCCTGACTATAAACTTTGTTTTAGGAATCTCAGTTGTGATTATCTCCATGCATCAGGTAATTTTAGCTTCTTTAGGTGCTCATATATGCACATGCTGACACAGATTTCCTCTTCTCTATAATTTCTGTCTGTGGGCAGTGAAGAGCACACAGAAGCCTGGACCTATATATATTTTTTCATTTCCTTTCCTATTTGCTTTCTTTGCTTGCCACTTTGATGATAGGGAGAGACTGCTTATGTTGTGTTATATATTTTCTTCTCCTCAGTTTTTTTCAGCACTTTCAAAGGTTAAAGATGAACAACAAGGTGGTAGTTTTGAAATGGTGGATAGCCAAGACAGCCGGAGGTATGCCTTACTCCTGTATGCAATTGTTTGTGGACCTTGAGTAAGCATTCTGTGCTTAGATAGGATCCTATCGGGGCACTAACAGCATTAGATTTTCATCGACGTCCTTCATTTTGGATCCTATCATCATTTATTCATGATTTTTCAATTTGTGACATAAGCCATTAAGATAACTAAGACTAGGCGTGTCGTTGTGTTGAGGTGAACTAAAATATGATACTTCATCTATTTGTCTTAGTTTATCATATAAGTGGCAAACGTACTTTCAGTCAATAATCATATTCGGACCAAAAACAAAGTTGTCAAATTTGTTTAATTATAATACATTCCGATCATCTGAAACAACAGATATTTTTTTTTTGAAATGTGAAACAACAGATATTTAGCATGGAGCTAACATATCAAGCATAATACATTTGTTGCTGAGCTCATGCCCGATTTAGTGGGTGGCATCAAGCCTTTACTATCATTTCTCAATTTAAAAAAATATGTCCTATCGATCGGCACAATTATCAGAGAATTTATTCGGAGAGATGATTGGAGTGTCATTAAGGGAACAACTATTTTGAAGTTCATGAATGATTATGATAATCTAAAGAAAATATATAGTACCCTATTTTCTTGAAAAAATCTCTTTGGAAGGTTGTTCGTTGGCATTTCTATAAACATTTTATACATGCAATGAGGACTAGAGAGGCCTCCAGTTTAAGTTCATTTCATTCATTTCTAGTGAAAGCCGGTGTGTGTTTTTGTGCTTGTCAGCACCATAACATTTTGATTTATCTTCACTTCTCCTAGTATTTTAGTTGTTCGATTCACTGCAGACAAAGATGCTAACTTGCCAATATCTTATCAGGTCTAAGGATGCATCATTCCTAAATATGACCGCTGGAGCAAATGAAGATGTGAGAGTTTTCACCAGCTGTTTTTTGTTGAAATATACTGACCATTCTGTTGAATGTTGATTTGCTATGGTGTTTAATAGTGAATGTTTTTTTTTTCAGGCTAGTCATCGTGTTAATGAGGAGGAAAAAAGACCGCTTCTTCCAGTTTAGGTTCTCATGTATTGGGTATGGATCTACAATATCGATTACTTTTCTTTACTTCTTTATCTGGCTAGAACTTATTATTTCTTTTTGACTTGGGAAAATAATGTGAGGTTTCAAATAAAAGAAAACGATCCTTGTAATCAATTCTGCTTGTGCCTACACGGAATCTGGAGATATTCAAAACTTTTAGGATTTCACTAATTTTAGAAGATAGAGGTGGCATTTGGGCAGGTTGGGTTCAGGTGGGCTCATGAAATTTCAGGTCACTACAGGTTCAAGTTCCTTTTTGTTGCAAATTACTATGGTTTAGGTCATTGACTTTTTTCAACAAATTCAAGTTGATTTGAGTTCAGGTCATCTTCTATGATAATCTATATCATATTTTATCATTTCTTTAATTAAGTTACAATATTCAATGAAAAAATAGTATATATTGTGCTTAATTTAAATTTTAAGTTCAGGTCACTTCCAGTTAGTGTTGATTCTGGTTTGGTTTAGATTGAAATCGGTTTGGGTTGCGTTAGGGTTCAAGTTTGGGCAGTTTTTATGGGTCGGGTTAAGTTTTCTCAGCTGTAGGCAGGTATTTTCGATACCTTGTTTAGAAATTTATTTCATATATACTTAGTTAGTTGTCTGACATAGTGTAGCACTCTTGGCTTGTTAACCTGGCAAAAGCGTGCTTGTGTATAAGAAGCTTCTCCTCTTTATCATAAGAGGAATATTAGATGCAACTCGGGTTTGTTACTCTTATGAGGCTTTAACACATTAGTTGTGGCTGGGCCGAGCTGGGCAAAGATCAAGAAGATGGATTAATTACTCAGTTTCATGATCATTTAGGTGATTTTGTTTATTGTGTCCTTTTGAAATGCCTTTCCAGTATATAATTCTTGTTAATGGTCTAATTTCAGGCAGGAACACATTTTGGAGCATACATTCTTTTAGGTGGACTCATTTACAGAAGATAATACAGCTTTTGTAACTGAATAGAATAAAAAAAAAATACCATCTAATGACTCACAATTCATTACTTCTTTTTGGGATACCCTTCCTCATCTCATGCTTTGGAGCAGTTGCCCCATCACAGCATAGCTTATGAAACCAGTGGGCTGGCTCATCAGCAGCAAGCTGAAGATCTGCTATAGAAGAAAAGTTTCAATTCTTATACCGGAATTATAGATTTCTTCTTTTTCTTTCTTCTACATCGGGTAAAGGAGTAATTATTTTCTTTCCTTATGTTGTACATGATGCCCTGTAAATGTCTCAGGGATCATTTGTGAACATGCCAAGAATTCTATATGTAGTTTTGCACTGATTTCATTGATACCCAATGGACTCACTACCCTCCTTAATAAGTAATGGTAACTGCTAGACCAAGCCTGAATTGTTTTTGCTTGGTCATATCCTGGTCAGGGCAAGCAAAGGTCAAGATACCTTGTCCAATCATTGTTCAATGGCATGCCTTACCTGTAAATGTTATTCCATTGCCAGACTACTACTAGAAATGCCTTGTGATGGCCACGTACACCTTTCATATACGCAAGGAATTGAGTTTCAGCCGAAAAGAGAGGAGCAGCAAAAGAGAATCTCTTCCCCCCTAAAATTGCGGTGCTAATTCGATGGGTTTTCTCAACGTGACAAGGGTAGGTTTTGGGGTTAGGTTTTAGGGTTAGGTTTTAATGCCATTCCTACCCACAAAACATGAGCACAGGCTAGGATGCAGGCTAACGCTGTCTTTTCGTCCACTCTTTATTGAAATTCTGACTTCGAAAAGTGTTCACTGTTTTAGTGCATGCCACATGAATGTTCGCATGAGCCACGCAGATTTCCTCATCCTTCCTCACTGACATGTGTCACGGTCTGAATTAACTTATAAAGTATTATTAAGATTAGACTATTACTTCGTTGCTTAATTATATACATTTACTGGCTGATCTATATCAACTAAATCATGTAGTCATCAATTTGCTATTTACAAGATCTATGCTCTTTTAAAATCGGGATCAAGAAATCAATTTACAAGTGAATTAATGGTTAAATGCAGTGGAATTATCAAATTATTGGTAAAGATATTTAAACAAAATAATATCTGCACTCCTGTGTCTGTGAGATTTATTTGCACGTTCCAAGGCCTGGGATAAAATTTATGACAATGCATTTAAAGCCTTTGAATTATGAGTAAAACTGTAATGTCTAGTTCAGGGGTGGGCATGGTCCGATTGGTGGTTGCCAAGTCCAGATCACGAACCATAATCGTATAGGCTTGGGATCGGTGCATTGTTTTTATAAAGAGACCAATTTTACATCTAAATTTATTTTTGTTAAAAGAAATCATAAATGTAAATTACATTAAAATGGCATTCATAAATATTACAAAATTAAGTACATTCACTTGAAAAAAGCACATTATTATAATTCATTTACTTTTAGATTTATTAATTTCAAAGTTTTACAATTTTAATTAGTGTTGTTGGTATTTGATTTTGGATATAAACGTTTTCAAATAAAAAATTCTTTTACTTATTTGTTAAGGTCTCTAAACTCGCTTTATGGGTTCAGGACTCACAAATTGTAATATTTAATTTATTATTTTGTAATTTTGAGATGATTATCATTTTAAAATCAATGCAAAATTTAATACTATGACCGTATTTTTTAATTTTTAAATAAAAATGAATAAATGTGTAAAATCTTAAATTACAATTTTACTAATTTTAAATCATTTGTTCTTGAATTTCATTTACTCATTATTTTTTGAAGGTTTGATCAATGGAGGAATTTGACAAAGTTCTCCCTATCCTCCTCAATCATTATCGTCTCTTTCAATCGACCTTTTTCACGAAACAAATACTGCTGATATTTTGCTAAATACAATTAACCATTTAAACTTTTATTAATTAATAATTTAATTACCTTCCTCGTTTATTGTTTTGTTTTTTCTTCCTGCCTCGCTAGCAAAAGCAACAAAGAATTAACCATTAACTTATTAAGTTGTCTCTCTCTTTTCTTTTCTTTTCAATTCGCATTTCATTTCTGCTTTGCTTTACCTTCCAGCCTTCACGGCGCCATCCGCCTTCCCCCACCCGTTTTAACCCTTCTTCTCTCCCTTATTCGCATCTCAGCTAGTCATTCTCCAAATTCGTCGGTGATTGATTTCACGCACCATCTGATTATTCTTTCTAGGGTTTGCTTTGCGTTCTCCCCCAAGTTTTCAATTTTCGATTCGTTGATTGAATTTGTTATTACTGTTTATATATATAAAAAAAAGCACCAGGAAAATGGAATCGGAGGATGATATCGATATGCACGACGCCAACAACGAATCGGGGGAAGACGATTTCTACAGCGGCGGTGACGATGATGCTGGAGCCATGGCTGCTTACGATGATTCCGATGCCGATGTCGCTGATTATGAGTTCATCGACAACGATTCTGATGATTCTGATGATCTTGTCTCTCATCGATACCAGGTATTTGGCTTCTTTTTTTTTTTTGTATGTATGTGTTTGGGTTTTGCTTTATTTGCTTTGATTTTTCGTTTTAAAAACTTAAAGCTGTCGTTTCCATGCTTTTCTTAGTGTTCATTTTGAGGATTATGTTGTCATTGGATGATCTGGGGTTGGTTTCGGGTGATCGTGATTGTTCAAATGTATGATTATTTCTTAAATATGTTGATGCCTTATAATTTTATAACAACTGTTTTTCTTTTCGAAGGTTGTGGGTGGGGGGGAGGGACTTTGTGAATTGAATTGTGTGAATTGGTGATTAATGTGAATTGCGCTCGACTTCACATATAGGGTTGGTATAGATAGGCTGTTATGAACAAATGTAATATCTTTATGGGTTATTGCTGGCAAATCTTTGATAATCATTAATATGCTTGATTTGGCTTTTGCTCTGTTTTTTCAAATTTTGACGTGTGCATAAGAAGGTTGTTGGTTGATTGGGTGGATTTGGTTTAGTGTAAGTGGTGTCATTGCAGCCTAAACCTAGAAAGAAGACCTTACCTGTAAAAGGAGTGCACTTATTCTTTGGTTTTGCAATCAAAGCTTTTAATAGATATTGAACTATCAGATTATGTGCAGTGCTAAGATTGAGACCTAAAGGATGGATAAATTAAATCATATATAAGTTACTCTATGGAAAGGAAATTAAATTAGATAGAGCAATAAAAAATAAACATGACCTGCAATGGATGGAGCAAGTAAGCTTCCTAAGGAAGTAGCACCCAGAAAATATTTACTTGAAATGCAGCCTGTCGTCTATATTTGTTCCATTAGATCGATGTTTAGATTAGGAGGATGTTAGGGTTTTTTGTCTCCTGAAATTTGGTTATGGTTGGTTCACTAAAATTTATCAAGTGTTTTATTTTTGCTGTTTTTGCTAAGTCTCTTGAATTTTGGTTCCACTAAGCATCTTGAATTTGGTTTTCTTTTGGTGTGGATAAATGTATCAAAGTTCTAATTGAAAAGGCTCAACACCAGAATCATTTTACTTTTTGGTGGAACATATGGCATGATTTTTAGCTACTTTTAGCTAATGGGTAGTAGCTACTTTTTCAGATAGAAGAGAAATTTGATGATGCTTTAACTCAGATTTGAAAGGATCCTTCTCGGTTGTTTCAAACCACAATTCGTTGCTCTTTTGATACTATTTATAATTTAGTAGAGTTGCATGCGTAATGGGAAAATGCAATCATGCCAGGAGCCATTTTTTAAAGGCATGTATACAAGTTGAAATCCAAATTATCACCTGCTTTCGTCTTTAAACTGGCTGGTTAACTCTCTGACCTTTTTCTTTAACTGTATTGATGCTGCTCTCTTGTTAGCATCAGTGGGAACAACTTAACTGTCCATACTGAATGTCCGAAAATCCTTACGTTTTGCTAATGCTAAATAGTTACTTCTTACAGTGCATATTGACTGTCTGAAACTGAAAGACCTTTTTTGATTTTATAGTTAGGGTCTTTTACAATTCATAATTTCTTCTTTTAAACTTGCACTGCATGCATTCGGTTGTTTTGCTATAGGACTGTTTACAAACGCTGTGGTTTCCCCTACAAGCTTATAACATTTCTATCCTTGTGTACATAAAAGTTAAGAGTTTTTTGAGCCCTTGTTTGTTAATTAATTAGTTTTTTTTTGAAGCACTTTATCCTAAATCTGTCTCTTATTTTCTTAGCAAAATTATACCGTTTTGAGCGAAGTAGATATTTGTCAGCGTCAAGAGGATGATATTATGAGGATATCTACTGTACTTTCCATCTCAAAGGTTGAAGCAGGCATCCTGCTACGCTACTATAATTGGTGAGTGATCATGGTTGGTATAAGTTCTGTTATTTAATAATTTCGTACTTTTGTTCCTTCCAAATCATGTAAAGGTTTTTACTTATCGCGAAATGTATTTTTGATGGATCTTAACTGCAGCTATGTAAGTGCTGAGTGGAATTAGGATTTTGTCATTTGCTGTTTGGTGTATGCATCTATTTGGCAATCTCCTGGTGATGATATATTTGTGTTTTTTGATGTTTTAATTGATTTATGTTTATTTTGGACTTACAGGAGTGTCAGTAAGGTACATGATGAATGGTTTGCGGATGAGGAAAGGGTTCGCAGGTCTGTCGGTTTGTTGGAGAAGCCTGTAGTCCCATTTCCAGATGGTAGAGAAGTAAGTGGTGCAATGCCCGAATGAGAGCTTTGACATATTTTTTCATGAGCTAGGAGTTCAACTGCTTATTTGCTATGCACTCTTTGACAGTTTATACCTTTTATTTTTCTTGGCATCTCTTATTTTGGCAGATGACTTGTGGGATATGTTTTGAAACATATCCTTATGATCGGCTGCACGCTGCTGCATGTGGTCATCCTTTTTGTAACTCTTGCTGGGCAGGTCTGTTGTGATACAGCCATACTTGATATCTTCGTTTTATAGTACTTAAAGGTCTGATGTTTGTTTGGTTTTAATGTCTGTTATCCTAAGAATTTCAATCTTTTGCCTGTTTTAGTTTAATTTTGTTTGGTGGAAACCAACAATTTCTCATGCTTTTGCCATGGAAAAGTCTGAACTTTTAATTTAATTGATTTCAATGTCAGTGTCATGATTGGTTCTGTCAGCTTACGTAACTGGCCAGAGCTACATTACCAGATGGTAGTGGTGGTGTTATGAATATCCTGCTTAGTAGATAAATGAAAGGTTTATTTCTTGGGAAGTAAAATGTTTAACTATCTATATGACTACCCATTTCTACCACTTGCCTGCTACTCTCCCTTTTTTTTGTAAGAATTTGCAGTTCTTAAAATAGAAGCATGAAATTGAGGAAAGATCAG